GGAGACTAAGGAAAGCTTGTGTTGCACTTATGAACACTTGTACAAGATGGTTATAAATGAGAGGCCTTGTCCTATTTATAGGCAAGCCAAGAAAATTATACAAGTCTTTAGAGACTTCTACACAAAGTGTTCCTATATTTAGTCTCTAGATACATCTACACAAATCAACTCTTATGTACAAAGTTCTAGACCATTTCATAAGACTCTTGAACAACCTAGAACGTTTCGGAAGCCTCTAGGGCTTGCTACATACTTCTAGCAATATTTGTTGTAGCTTCCATGGTTTAGGCAAGCCTCCATGGCTTGCTACTTGTTTGGGGGATTGAGGTATGGGTCTATTGGGGTCCTGATTTTTCTATTGAGACACTATATATGGTACTGCATGAATGACCGGCCAGTGACGGACGGGCACGATCACGCGTGGACAGAGTGCGATTCGTGTCACTAGGAAGGTGTCAAAGTTCGGTTGTTAGTGTTAAATAGTATGCTTCTTGCCTAAAGCACTCTCCAGAGACCATTTTAATTTGGAGAGGTTGCAAGTTACTAGTGTAGGAAGGTGTCAAAGGCTTGCTGCAAAGTTTCTTATCAATCAATATAATATTGTAGTGTTTTGCATATTTTTTTTTGTCCCTAGTCATTAAAAATCCTGCACTTATTTGCTCTTTTTATCTGTCGCTATATACTCCTGCTGCTGAAATTTTTATTAGGGAAGTAAATCTAAGCTAATACTAAAGACTTGCATTTTCAATTGGGAGTGGTGGGGTTATTATGGTATCTTGGGGTGTGGTGGCAATGATTTGGTGGCTTTGATAATATCGCCTTTATGGAGCTTTTCTAACCATGCCACCTACGCAATTCTTGTATTTGGCGTGCGGTGGCCTCAGAGAAATGGCTTTTCTAACTATTTTTCCATAAAATTGAAGGAACTCCTCTTTCTGATCTTCGGACTCCATATGTTTATACATCAATAGGTTTAATTCTGGCAAGATGGGAAAATGGAACAAGTGAGTGCTTACTGTAATTGAAGACCTGAAATTGTAAGACACCAACAGATTGCACTATAGTATAGTTGTGAACTTGTGATATTTTGGGTAAAATAATTCTCCTGGGGACGTCTTGCTCATCGTTCATTGCTGCAAATTAGGAACTTGATTGGTGAGGTTGTACGGATTTTTCTTAATTCCTTTGTCTGTTGTTGCCTCTGCCCTGCTCATTCTTCATTGGATGTCGTGTTGCAGCAGCAGCTTTTCTTTTGTTTGTTTGTAGGAAGTTATAAGTTCATTTTAAAAATTAAATTGGCATGTTCTAGTACTATTTGATTTCTTCTATTGGTCTGCAGAATCTTCTTTGCGATTGAGTTCTTTCTTTGCTGCCCGTTCAGCAACAGTCTTTCTTTCTTTCTTTCTTGTAATTGGATGGCTGAAGATGGGAAAAGCCAACGATTGTCTGTTCTCTTCAAAACAACCGAAGAACAGCTAGCTTCTACATATTTATCGAATTTGATAGCTTTTCCGAGAACCAAATTATTTTATTTCATGACCATTGTTCTGGCTGGATGGATGAGTCTTTCGTTTTTTTTTTTCCTTTTCTTTTTCTTGGGAAATAAGTTACACGAAGTCTGATGTTATAATCCAATTAATCTTCACCCATACTGGATGTTAATATCCTTCAACTTTATTTTCTTTTTCGTTATGCCTTAACAAATTAATTTAAGCTACAATGAAAAGAGAGCGTAAAATGTTGAGTTGAAGAGCTATGCTATCTCTTGCTTGCCTATTATTGAATTTAATGTGTTGAAACCCAATTTGGCTCTGTAACTACAATTTCATAATTCATACTACCCGCTGCCTAGAGAGGTTGACTTGGCTCTTGTACCTATCTTGCACTCCAATGTGTGAAATCAAAATTTAATCAAATTGGCCTTCGCACCAGAAAAGGGCTTTAATTTCAATATTGGCTTCAGTGCATGTTTGCGTCTCCTAAGGCAAGTCATATAAAACAAATCCATGACCTAGTCTTCAGAGCATGTTTGCGGTGCCCATTATGTCTTTGAAGGCGTGGAAATTAAACTAAGGTTGCTTCTGGTTCCATAGAATTGAAAATATTGGAATTCCTTTATTTTGTTTGGTAAATGTATAGAATTATCATAGCATTCATTTGTAAATTCGACCTTTGAAATGATCTTTTTCAAGTAACAATGGATGGAATGGAATGAATGTCAATTTGGTATTGAAATCAATTCTCTGATCATAAAAATTTGTAATTCTTAGAGAATTCAAAATATTTCCCTCAAACGGAAAGAAATCTAGGTGAAGTCACCTGTGATTTAATAAGATTATCTAAATGACAATAATCACGCAAACTTCATAAGTTTGATTCTCTCAAAGGTCATTAGGGAAAATTCCACCCATCACTGGGACTTTATGAATTTTTTTTCAAAGGAAAAGAAAGTGAAAATTTCTCAATCAAATGGTAGTTCATTTAGAACTATGAATGGGTTTGATTTCACTTGAACGTAAATCCAATTTGGATACATAAGATGCCCCTTAAACGCCACAGAAACTATAAAATCCTTTATAAGGGAGCTATTCACACCCCAATGATGAAAGATTAATTCATGAAATTTTCTATCAAATAATAATTCCATTGAATTAAGGAATGGGTTCCAACCAAATTACCCATCATATATTCAAAGTCGCTTTAATATAAATTATTTTCCCATGAAATCTATAAACATACAAAACTACAAAGTACAAGTACATTTCCCACTAAATAAGCACTTTGCGCTCTATTTGATATTTTAAAACAAAATTGCCCTTATTATTTTATTTTATTTCTTTTTTGTTTATTAATTCCCATATTTTCCCTTTTCCACTACTTTCTTTTATTTTTTTATTTTTACTTCTTTTAGCATTTCTTTTTTTTTTTTCACTTCTCTTATGTCACTATTTTTTTCACTTTCCTATTAGTATTACTCATTTGTAAGCTTATTATAATTATTTTTTATTTGTAATTTATTCTTGTTTTATTTGTTTACACTATTACAAAATTTCAAGGTAAACTATATAGTGTATAAAACTAATATGTACTTTTCATAATTAAAAAAGTATATATTACTAGCAACTTGAATATTTAAAAAGATATTACCAAACTAGAACTTTAATTTACTTAATACTTAAATATATATCACATAAAAATAAAGTACTTAATATTTTTATTACTTTTTTTATACATAGTTGATTAATCACTATGTTATTATCATTGAATTTATTATTGTTTTTTTATTAAAAATCAATTTATTTAAATTCTAGATGCATTGATTTAAATAATATATGAAATAGTCTATGTGCATAGATAGTATATACTTTGTTGTAGCATATATTTTATGATAATTATTACTTCCAATAACAAAAAGTAAAAAAAAAAAGATAGAAATAAATAAAAGATTAAGTTTAAAAAGATAAAAAATTAATATATAGATAATAACAGCAAAAAGAATAAAGTAATTGGTCATATGAGAGAAAGGAAAAAAATTAAAATATATATAAAGAAAAAGGACAAGTAGAAAAAGAGAAAAAAGAAATAAAATAATAATTAACATAGGAGGGGCACTTTTGTTGTAAAACATAAAATAAGGGGGCAAAGTGCTTGTTTATTGAGTTAAGAGGAGCAAAGAACCCTTGATTCAATGGAAGGAAAAAGACAATATTTATATTCTACCTTTAGCCTAAACACTTATTTTATGTTTATATTAAAACAAACACGATTGTTTCCAATTTAACGACGTGTTTGTTACAGAGCTTTTACCTTAACAAGTCAATAGAATTCTATCAATGTGAAAATTCTTATTTCTCTATACCACTAATATACTCTAGTGATCACTTTGTTTGATATTCTTGAGCCTTGTACTTTCAGCAAATTTATGCATACATATTAATGAAATTTCCCTAGAACGTTGTTGAAAATTTGAAATTGAATATCCATATTTCACCTACTAAAAGAAATCTTAAAAGGTACGAGTTTACTTTCCTACGAATAGTGTATATTTTCTTGTAAGTGACAAAAATTTTTGTCCCACCATCCCAATGGTGAAACGATATGTTAATAACAAAACTCTTTTAAACATTTGTAATTTAAAGTAATGTTTTGAAAATCGAACCGGATTGGCCGGTTCGATTGGTCAGATTGCAAACCGGCCAAGTCTTTGATCCGATTCATTACTAGTGTTGACTTTTTATAAAAAACAGTCAAAACCGCAAAAAATTGGTCAGATCATTCAACCCAGATTGAATCGTGAACTGCGATTTTTTCATTTTTCCTATCCTTTTAAAAAAAAAATTGAACTTTAAATTTTAAACATAATAAAACTTATTAGAAGAATCTTTTTTTCTCAACTGTAATTTCTAAAAGAGTAACCAAACTCTCTATATTTCTCACCTTGAAACTCAAAGATCACTTTTTTCTTTTGTAGTTCTATTCGATTTTGTTTAATTTCAAAAGTTCCAATGTATTTTGTTTAATTTTAGAATATGGTTGTGGTTTGTGTGGGATTTAAGATTTTTACCATGTAGGTACAATTGAGATGAATTTATTTGTTTGAATTTACAATTTTAAAAATTTATTTGTGTTTAAAAATATTTAATTTTTTTTATCAAGTGATGTCTTAAATTAGTCCATGAGATAACAGCCTTGAACAATTGAAACAATTATTCTGTGCACAAGTATGTGTATTTATGTGTGTGTGTATATATATATAACATCATCGAACTGGGGTTGAACTGATCCGACTGGTTGAATCTCGATCTGGCCACTTCACCAGTTCAATTAACAATTCGAGTTTCAAAACATTGATTTAAAGTTATACTCTTCAAGGGTTAATTGTCCTTTTACCGTCAAAAAACCCCAGAACTTTCTGGCCAAAGTAGCATTACCCCCAAATATTTCGGTAACAGCAATTTATAGTATATGTTTTATTATATTTCCTTAATAAAATCTCCAAAACCCCGAAAACCAAAAAAGGAGGGAGAAAAGAAAAAGATCAAGGGAAAGGGGAAAAGAAAGACGATGAAGATGACCTGGAAGAAGCAGAAAAAGAGCACGAGCAAGAAGCGACCTTTGTCCCAGTTACATAATCTTCCATTTGAGCAACAAGAAGATAGTACCAATACTGATAATTTGCAGGAGGAGGAAATTGGTGGGAACGACGTCGTTGAGAAGAATACTTCAGTTTCTGATGAGAATGTTGATGGGAAGAAGCTAGCTCAAGTCTATGAGCAACAAGGGAACAAACTTGCTGAGGTACTTTCTATTCAATTTAACATTTCTGGGTTTTTGTTTTCTTGAAGCTTTAATTTGACTTGAATTTGTTTTTCCCTTGAAGTTCTTATTTAATGTTTTTTTTTTCTGGGTTTTCTGAATTGAGCTTATTTTTTATGTGGGCTTGTTTGAACTTTAGTAGGTTGGTAAAGTTGAAGTCTTTGACTTGTGTGATCGTGTGTGTTTGTATTTTTAACTTAACTACTTGGTTTTCATATCTTATACAGGTTAAGCAGGTGAAATTAGCAAGTCTTAGCATGATCAAGTAGGGATTTTCTGTTAATTAATTAGTACACTATTGCTCCCTGTTTAGTTCTAGTGTTGCTGAAATGCATGAAAAAAGTCAAGGAGGAAACTTTTTCAACCCTTTTAAGTTTTTGACTCTAAATGGGATTTGCTGCATTGATTGACTTAGCTGGTAAATAGATCGTTGATGATGATTTTCAGGCTAAATCGCCTTTGCCTTAAAATGGCTGATAAGAAAAGAACACGTTTCTTATCTTAGTTTATGTTATGAGGAAGTGGAGGTTCTACTGACTTGTGATATAATTTCCTCTGGAACGAAAAAGATATATCAGTTAGGAATAGAAATGTTTATTAAAATGTGGCTAAGATCCTGAATTTGTTTGTCTAGGTGTGCATAAAATCCTCCAAATTAGGTCATTTTACCCAAAAAGTCTTGCTCTTAGTTTCTTTTTAGATGTTTAGGTACAGAGGTCGTTGATTTCATCTATGTATATGTGATCATCATAGATGTCTTCCATTTGTTCTTCTAGGTTATATTAACAAATTTTTAGTTGCTATATGTTTTGCTGATGAATTAACTGATCAAGGCATATGCATATGCATTCTTCCTGCGGGTGAATTCCTTTGAAGGAGTCCACCAATCAGCGTATGAAGAAATGTGGTATGTGTAGGGAAAACAGCAAATGAAGCTTTTAGAATTTTAATATTGAGGTAGGATAAACTTTGTTAATGTAAATACACCTGCTTCAGAGCTTTGTTGTAAATGTGCACCTTAGGTCATCCAACTAAATGATTAAGCTGCAAGACTACTAAGTAACTGCTACTTCAGCCTTCTTAAGCTGTGATAAATAACTATATGTTTAACAGGTCTTTTTGGAACTTATATGCCTGTAAGGTTTAATTCAAAGCCATTTCTATTGTAATACTACTCTAGGACCCTTAGTTACAATCATTTTTCAAGAAAAGAAGCAAAATGCTTATGGGTGAACATTCCCAACTGTATCCATAATATTGTATCAGAATTGTTCTTAATCCAGTTGAGTCTACTTTCTTGCCCAAATGTAAAAGGTTTCCTTGCTTTGGAGAATCTAAAGTGTACAATTACAGCAAGGGGTGCAAGAAGGAAGAAGGGCGGGATTTTTTTATATTTTAGTTTTGGATAATGGAGGTTACCCCTTTATTTATTTATTTAATTTCCATAGTCATTTGGTATAGACTATCTGAAGATTTAAAATTTTTGGGTTCACCTTACAGAAGATAAGGAGAGCTTGTCATGTTATCCTTTTCAGTAACTTTCCTCTTTTGAAAACTGAGTTCTGCTGTAATTAAGATGGTTTTGGTGCAGAATGGATATTTGGACTAATATATAATTTTGGGATATGCATGCACACACTCAGAAAACGGGCATAAATTTTTTGTTTTATGTATCTATGGATTGTATATCTATAATTTTTACGATTTTATACTAACTGTAGCGGTAGGATGAGGCAGTGTAGGCGACTCTGAGCTTGACCATATAGAGCTCCCTATTTTCATCACATACCACAGTTTAAAAGTCATTCATCCAGAGGAGAGCCAGCCGTTGTGAGTCAAGCCTAATGCAAATTCTGTTTTACAGTTCCTTCCAGTTAAGTGTTCTCTCACTTAAATTAGTATTATTTAAGAAGAGAAAACATCCTATTGAAGCTTTTATGGTTTTCCCGGATGAATAGCTAACATGTTTGGGACATGTAATATGGTTTCTAGATATTACTTTGTATTGTTATTTTGTGCTAAGATGATGAAAACATAAATAGAATATTTGTAAAAGACTTTCCTGCTGCAAGCACAGATCATCAGTTTGTATCTCCTTTTCTAATATGTGTTATAAAATTCTACATGTAAAAAAGCTCCTAATTTTCTAAGTTAATTGACTGGCCACTCACCGCCTGTTTCAAATTGAAGGATGGGAAGTTCAGTGAGGCACTAGGCAAGTGGGAGGCTGCTCTTACTTTGATGCCAGAACGAGCAGTTTTGCATGAGCAAAAAGCTCAAGTTTTAATTGAACTGGGAGAAGCATGGGGTGCTCTAAAAGCCGTCACTCGTCTGTTCCATATCTCTTCTATGTTTCTTTTTCATTTGCCATTGTGTTCTATATCTAATTACTTTTCACATATACTTTGCAGGAGCCACAGAATTAGAACCAACATGGGCTGAGGTTTGTTAATCTCAGTTCTGCATAAACCTCTATCATATTCTGTTGTTATGATTGTATGTTAATATGGCAATGTATTGGGTACTCAATTGAATGGCTGTCATACCTTCAACATGCCTTCTGTTTTTACAAACCCAAACCTTCTCTAGAAACTACTGGATATTTGTGATAGATGTCCAAACCTGCCTCATTCATCAATAGGATCCTCAGACAGTACCCAATAAGCGTATTTATCATGTTATTTAAATTTTTCTGCCCATTAGAGATAGACCGTGTTACTACTTCCATACCCATCTGTGTATATATTTTTGTATGTGGTGAGTAGCAAAAGCATTAGGCTATGCTGGACCAATTTCTGACTTATGCTACATCACTATACAATTCTCAATTAATGGAGTACTTCCATTTTTTTTAGGCATGGATTACCCTTGGTAGAGCGCAATTGAACTTCGGGGAGCCTGATAGTGCCATTGAAAGCTTTGATCGGGCATTAGCTATTAAGGTAAATATACTCGGGCTCTGAGTATCCTTCCATGGCGACATGGTTAATTTACAACCTTACTGCATTGATGGAATGCAATTTATCTTGAGGTAGAAAAACTTTTGTCCAGCCTTAGACTATACAGTACTAACATGATGATGGCGTGGACCCTTTTTTATTATTTTTTTTTCTTGATTTCAATTTATTATGTGTTTGTTCTTGGTTCAGTACACTGAAAGTGTGATGTTACATAAGTTTTTGCAATTGCCTACCACTTGCTATCTCAAATCTCTGAAATGTTTAGATTACGCAACTACCAGAAAAACTGTCTCTAGAGTTTAAAGTATGTTGTGTGACAGATGGTCTAGGATTTTGTGGTGCTGTACAAGGATAACAGCCCTTACATGGGACTATCTTCTGGGAATAGTGATGAGAATTGAGAGGTGTCATTGCCACAATGGGACAATAGATGAGAAAGGCTAATTCTAGACTGCTTTGCATGAAGTAATAGAACAGCATGATGTACACATAAACTTAATTCATTTACTGTAAAGGTTGAAAATCATGATGAAGTTTTGACCAAGAAACATCAGATTTTTAAGTTTCTTGGAGCATTTTTTTGTTGGGCAAATTATCCAATTGGCCCTTAAACTCTTTGTCTAAGTAAAAATAAGCCCCTCATCTATTTTTTGCTGACTTTAAGCCCTCGAACTTGTAAAATTGGACACCCGTGACCCTTTTTGCCAGTTTCTCCGGTTTTGCAACCGGAAAGTGAATTCACACGAATGCCAGTATGCTTTTAAGAAGGGCATTTTTGTCAAGCAAAAAAGGAACAACTCCTCTCTCCTCATTGACTTCTCCACCGATGCCGTCTCCCTCTCCTCTCCTCTCTCCCGCAACCTCTCCCTCTCCCTCCCATTCGTCTCCTCCCCCATGGACACCATCAATGCCGACGTTTCCCAGAAGCCCTCCAATCCTTCCAAAATACCTATTCGACCTCAAAAAATCCGAAAGCTGTCATCTAACCCTACTTCCACCATTGCCACCACCCCCGTTGTTCTCACCGCCGTTAACTCCTCCTTCATGCCCACCTTGCAGACTTCCGAGGCCAAAGCCCAACAAATTACTGATTCTTCCTCCTCCCCTTCTGCCATACCTATTCCGACCACTGCTTCCTCCTCCTCTACCACCACCACTACCATCACCTCCACCTTCGCATTGACCAGCACTGCTGTTACTTCCACCACAGTTTCCACACCCACGGCATCTATGCCCAAGAATCGGAGGCGTAATGCTGTCCAATCAGCTAGGGTTCTGCCCTAGATCATCAAACCCCTGTCGGCCGAGGGTGAAATCAATGCCGCTCTCCACCATCTCCGCGTTGTTGACCCTTTACTTGCTACCCTGATCGATACCCACCAGCCTCCGGCATTTGAGTCTCACCACTCCCCATTCCTTGCCCTCACCAAGAGCATTCTCTATCAGCAACTCGCCTACAAAGCAGACACCTCAATCTACAATCGCTTTGTAGCGCTCTGCGGTGGCGAGACTGCCAAAAATGCCGATGGCTTGCTTTGCTTCCTCCTTCTTTGCCTGGGCTGTTTCCCTGATCACCTTTCCTTCCTCCGAATCCATCAACCCCCTAACTCGCTTCTCGATTTTAGCCGCTTTCACGAACCCACCTTCCGTACTTTCATCCATTGGTAAGGCCAACTTCATCTCCTCAACTAAGAACAGCCTATTCAGCCTCTGCTCAGCATAAAGCGGCCACCCCACCATAGGCACACCCGCACAGACTGCTTCCAACACTGAGTTCCACCCACAGTGGGTCACAAACCCACCCACCGACCCATGATTCAACACATCCACCTGCGGTGCCCAAGAACTCACCACGAAACCCCTACCCTTTGTCCGGTCCAAAAACCCGTGAGGAAGCAACAAATCCAGATCTGGGGCGGGTGGAGTTTGAAAGCGGCTGGTTTTGTCCTCAGAAGGCGGACTGCGCACCACCCACAGGAACTTTTGCTCGCTCCTCTCCAACCCGATGGCTATCTCTTTCAGTTTTTACGCGAGTTTTGAATCTTTTGACAAAAATGCCCTTCTTAAAAGCATACTGGCATTCGTGTGAATTCACTTTCCGGTTGCAAAACCGGAGAAACTGGCAAAAAGGGTCACGGGTGTCCAATTTTACAAGTTCGAGGGCTTAAAGTCAACAAAAAATAGATGAGGGGCTTTATTTTACTTAAACAAAGAGTTTAAGGGCCAATTGGATAATTTGCCCTTTTTTGTTCATTAGTTATCCTGTACTAAACAGTGAAATCTGATTTTTTGGACGAAAAGGTTTATATTTCTACTTACATACGTACACGGATTTGCCCAGGTATAAAAGTGCAACTTATCTGTGACAGTAAATCATGTTTTTGCTGTATCAATCACATCATTAATGCATCTACAACACATTGTTTATTACCTTTTAAGGATAACCCTATCAGTTTCTCCATTTAGTGTGTCCTTGCACAGGTTCTTTTGTTTAGGCATAAATAAGCTGCCTTTTATTGTTTTGTGTAGATAGTTTGAGGCCGCTGAAACAATTAGTTGTTGAGAAACAACTCTTTTCCAAAAAATTGTAACAACCAAAGGTTATTTTGAAGAAGCATTTCAGGTGCACTTTTTAATACACTTTTAAGCCATTTTTTAAATTAAAGCTAAAAAAAATGTGGAGAACAAAAAAAAAGCCTTGATTAACTTGAAATCGAGACGGAAAAAAGCTAGAATCAGAATAATTCTAGCATATAAGATCACACCCAAGTATGCTGAATGTCCAAGTATGCTGAATGTTATCAGACTCTAGGCAAGCATCTTGGCAGCCACCAGCCTGAGCTAGTTCGTCAATTGCATTTGTTTGGGTGACTGCATTATTTTGTATTAGATTTGTGTTGGCTTTCATGTTTTGTACTCAAATGGTATTCAACTTATTGTGTCATTGCAGCCAGATTCTGTGGACGCACATGATGACAGGAAGACTGCATTGCATCTTATAAAGAGGCGAAAACAGCTTCATTCTACAGGCTTGAGTGCCAACGCAAATCGTTTTGCCGTTGGGGATACTGGTCAGTAATGAAGCTAATGGAGAATTATGAAAGCAGCTTTGCTGTCTTGTTAAAGGAATTTTGGTAGTTTTTTTTGGTTAAAGTATGAAAGTACCCTATGGTGTTGACTTCTGTGGCTGGCTGTTAGTGTCAAGTTTATAATGTTTCACATGCTGGAGTTCCTATCCACCAGTTGTAAATAAGAAAGAGGGAGGGAGGGAGGTGGGGAGAAGTATGCTAGTAAGTGCACAGATAATTAGATCATGCTGAATTGCTGATAGCTCATAGCTTTTGTAAGTTACAGGCTTTTCTGGGTTCCTGGCTAAGAATTGAAGATCCATGAAATTTGATTTCTGTTCAACAATCTATGCCTGGCACAGTAAATGATTTTTGAGTTAATGATAAATGGTCCTTCAGTCGAGGTATGATGTTGTCATTGAGGAAATTTTCCAATCCCAATCTTCTGTTCCATCATCAGCAACATTGTGAGCCAACACCTGATCCACATTAAACCCAGAACTTTTTTGTGACATTCCACGATGATAGCTTTTAAATTCAAAGCGCACAACAGGTAACTTCCACAACTTCCATGGTAAGGGCCAAGGACTAACACCAAATGCTGACAGCAGATTGCCTTCAAAGTGGGTAAAACAGAGTTTTAGACGTAAAAGTACTCATTTCCCCAATAGAGATATACACGCATGTAAACCTGAGAGAAAAGGCTCAGCCAGTAAAGCACTTTAATATGTCCATATAAACAACAAAAGATGTGAACACTTTTACCTGTTTCCATGAGGAAATAAAGCCAACACTTTTGACTTCCAGAGACAGATCTTCCTTGCGTTTAAGAAAATCTATTCAGTTTTATATAGAAGCAGCAGGATTCCGACCAAACTGGATGATTATTGGCTTGCCTTTAAGCGCGTACCCATTGACTAAATTCTGCATTCAATAGTTCAGAAACACAAATCTTATGACTTCAAATATAGATAAAGCAGGTACAAGCTTATGCATTCTTTTATGAAATCCTGTAACACATAGCATGGACTGAATCATGGAATATTTTTTGAATCTTGCCTGTAAAACAAGCTTAAATGAGACAAAATTGGACTCTGCACACAATTTTATCTCGAGGGTGTCTAAGAGGTCAATAAAGAAATCTGTCCTTGAGAGTCTGGAGGTAGGCAGAATGAGTGAATACAAATTTCCTTTCTTTCAAGAGGCCACTACGCCCAATATCTCGTGTACCAATAGAAATAAGCTGACTCTCATTTTAATCTGAGACACCGACTCTATAAGCGCATCAAAGAAAAAATCATTTTCATCTTTTTGTTTCAGTGCCATCGTCCGCGAGCAGACAGATGTGTTTTCATCATTCTTACTTCAATTGATAGGAAAAATAAATGGGCAGCAGCTATTCAACCCAATTAGACAATGATTGGCTAGCAGAGCAGGAAAACTTTAGATTACGTTAAAGCTCAATTCATGTTTTTACAGGGAAGAACTTTATAAAGTGCAAGTGCCACTTTTATTAATTGAGGACCAGCCATTAGAGCAAACATAACAATACTATCGGGCACATGAACAATTATACTGTATTAACTCAAAAAATACATAGATAACAAGGCAGAAACAAAACTTCACTGTTGAAAAACTTACCAGAGCACCATGGGCAAGTTCAATTGATGGGAAGGTAACAAAAGCCTGTCCTCTCATTCTTCCTTCCTAAGAGGTACAATAATTGCAGCATTTCGGTGTCAAAATATAAAGCAGAAAACTAGCTCTGAAAACATGTAGCAAGAGTGGATGTCAAAGACATTATTTAGGCAACTCAAGAGCATAGCATATTTGGTAGGAACAAAAGGATAGAAAGCACAAACTAGAAGACATAAAAATCCCTTTAGAAGAAAGAAAAAGTTGGTCGATCATTCTCAATCAATGAGATGCATTTGTTTGTCAAGAATGATAATAAAGCATTTGCACCAGATACACAGGATATGGAAGACAAAGTGTTAGGAACTGAAAATTCTTTCTCAAAGCAAGGTAGTTTTTTTTTTTTTTTTTTTTAACTATAGTTTGTAGTTGCAATAAATAACAATAGCTCATAGAACCTGCAAAGCATTCTATTAAAAAAAAAAAGTTGACTTTTGAGTAAATTCATGGAGGTTAGATTGTTATCATTATAAAGCATGCCTTTACATCCAAGACAAGCCTATGTATTCTTGAAAAAACATCTAGAAAAAACTTCTTCTCTTGAAATTCAAGGAAGCAAGGGCATTCGACCATTAATTATGAAGGAAAAATGTGAAAAAGATTTGCAAGGAGCATCAGTGCACCAATAATTCTTAGACTCGCATGCCTGAGGATTCAAAAATTCATGTCAAAATAAGTACATTATCACCTACGTAACTAACATAAAACAAATATCAGAGAACATGTCAACCATGGTTGTAATTCTCCACGCTCTTGAAATCTCATTTCCGATGTAAATGATTAGTGAAAACTTTAAGCAAAATCCCTTTTCAACCAAAAGCAGGAACTTGCACAAATTACTATGCAAATAGGAGGAACTTAACCTAAAGAAGACATAGTTTGATAAAAGACAACATTATTCAATTATTCATAATCCTTCCAGGTCTCAGCCTTAGAAAGATCCAGGAAGCAGGTAATAGAACTGGTCCAAAACACCGAATTAAGTATGAATCTTCTGTGGCATCAAGGCAAATTAGTGAACACTTCTATTAGTCCCCTGTTTCGACCTCAACAAAGGAAGACAAAGAAGGGAGAAGCCCCACACCTACAGGATTGATTTTAGTAACACTCCATACCTTCATTACACTTCCATTAATCATTTTCCTTTACACAATATTATGCAAAAAGATCAAATCTAGTTGCTCAGAACAAGAAGGAGGTCTAAGAAGTTAAAGAGTGAGTTAGCTTTCTCACCTGCATCAACTTCACATTAAGACTGGATTTTGCTACATCAATGCTTCCAAAGAATGACCCTAAAATCATACCATCAGAAAGAAGCTAAGTTAAACAGCAGTGGCATAAAATCCACTGGAAGCTGAGACATCTTATTTCATACCATTATTGTTTTAGCCTTCATGAAAGAATAAATTATCATCCAAAAAAAAAAAAGAATAAATTATCATCCAGAAAATTAGCAAAATAGAGAGTTTTGCACTCACCAAATATAAAGTAGAAGTCATCAGCTACCACATCTTTCGCTAGGTTCTTAATGTACAAAACAGAAGAAGGATTCCCAGCTCTATAATTCTGCAAAATAAATTTTCGTACCCATGAGGGAAGAGCTATATTTGTGGCAGACATATTCAATAGAAAAGGATGTTCCTACTAACTTCCTGCATGCACACTTCTCCAGTGGGCTAAGCATGTCCAGAAAATTTGAAATACATACTATTTAGATATCAAGGGGCAATTAACTTACAGTAAACTGAAGGCCTACGCATCATCCTAATCTATTAGACTATGTTACCAACATACCACATAACAACTTGTCTAATTCGTGGAACTGTGTCTGAAAAATTTCTAGATGCCAGGAACTTGGTTGAAATCTGATAATCTACTAAACCGGCATCCTTTTCAGCTCTTTTCTCATGGTAATTACATGGTATAAAAAAATTATAACTCAGAAACAATATAAAACAATGAATGCAATACCTTGAACATAGGCAAAGATAAAATCTCCTCAGGGGGCAGTTTTCCCCTCTTTAGTTCTTCTACCGTCGCATAAGGTTCGTGATGTAAGGCCTCTTTGTCTGGCTTCAGTGATTCCTCCTGAGCTGCATCACCCACCTGTTCATTCTGAATCTGTTTCGGTGCTATCTTAATCTGCAAGACATCAAGAAAAAAGAATCTCAAAACCTGCAGCAAGAAAAGGTTTCCAATGCACAACTCACTAAGAAGGAAGGTGCTGACCTGTAGCACAGGGTTCTTCTTTTTTATTATTGGGATTTCTTTTGGAAGTAAGGCAGAACGTTTCAATCCAACAGCCTCATGCCCAATGTCCTCGTCAACTGCAGGACCTACAATTGCTTCTCGCTTGATACGCTTTGCCTTAGCTCTGCCCTCTCCTGGAGCTTCCTGAGACATTAAATTCAAAATTGTAATGTTCCATCAATATATATTTTCCTTCCAATACTGAAAATGAAAGTAAAGCTCATTATACACAAAGCAAGAGACTCAGAGTTCTGCTGAGTTTCTAATTACTTTAACCAAGAGTTTCACAAGATCTTAAGACCATGGAGACAAAGAAAACAGTAAAGACAAACAAAAACTGGAACCAGAATATATTAACCCTCATAGTCAAACAGAAGGCAAGTCAAAAAAGGGTAGAAAAGACAGAATTATGGTCGTATATCCCTCTTATTGCCAAAAAAATCAAGGGATAAGGGAAAAGATTCACTATCATTCCAAAAGCAGTGAGTTCGACCTGCATGTACATATCCATCCAGGGAGTAAGAGAATACAAAACCCAACACTTTGAAGGCAATCAAAAAACTTGACTGCAGGTAGAGGAGAGAAGTGTCTTCACGAGTTTTAGTCCAAAATAGGCATAGTTTCAGTTCAATCACAGATGGCAGAAAGAATGTCATCCTCTGGAGAAGGCAAATTCAAAATGTAGGTAACAGGCAATTAAAAGAGAAGGTAACATTGAGCAATACACATTTGTTCAAATGCCTGAATCTAATTAGCATTTTGAGACGGTAATAGACTCTGACTTCTCACTGCTCTTTAGAATAACTGAAATTTGTCAATTATCTTGTGCTTGGTTGACAAGTAAACAATAATTGTTTTTGAAAACAAAATTTGTTATAGCATTACCAGGCATGTAGACAAAAAACTATTAAGTTCAAAATATAGCTAGCTTTCCAATGAGCAACAGGGATACAAAAAAGAAATCCCAAGATGAGTATGGTAAAATTTTATGTAGCATATTGAGAAGAGTTTATTTTCAGAAAATTGCATTAGAAGTTGATTTCCAAGCTGTTTTTTGTTTTTCTTAAAAGAGAAGTTTCCATAATTCAAATTTAGCATAAGGAAATAAAGCCTCCAGCAGTATGTAAATTGCCCTAACTGTCAACCCCCAGATGAGACAAAAAATAATTTTTCCCCGGATCAAAAGGATTATTTGGGGCATTTTGAGAATGAGAAGCATGAATGATCCTACCTAAACTCATAACTATATGCAGTAATATTCAACACTTTTTTGGAAATAAAACTATAAAAGATAATGTGGATTAATATTCTGTGCTAGAGATCGATAGCTATATGCTTTTAACGGAGAGAAGGAAGAGGTCCTAGACAGACACAGAAAACTCAAACCAAAACAACAGGTTAAAACAGTTTAGCACCAAAATTGATTTCCAAGCCCAACTGGTGATGGATTTAAGCCTC